GAAAACAAGAAATTGGAATTGGAATTTTGAGCAAGTGAGTTTACGTTTTTGCGGTTTGATTTTATTATTTCTAAGAGTTTTATAATCTCTTAAAACTATGGACTTGCTTGATGTGATACAGGGGTATTGTTGTTGGTACTTTTATGTCAAAAAGAGGTAACTGGTTGAAGGAAATTGAGTGAAACAAATAAGAATAGAAATGTATAGTTGCCATCCAACATTTAATTTTGGATAATACCTTGAGTATAACCTATATTTATCAATATGAATGTTTTATATGAATTTATAAGTACAAAAATGATTTTTAATAGGTTAGAATCTGATTTGTGGCATGTAAATTCAAGTGAAACTCAAAACCTCCGTTAATGTGAACCTATGTAATAATAGTAGCTCCGAAACCAACACAAGATTGAATCACAACCACAAGAAAGCTAAAATCTCGATTTGAAACTTGACCCAATAATTGACCCCTTAATAATAAAAGTTTTGAACCCTTAGGATGAAGTTGTTGAACGTCACAAGATAAAATCCTTGATAAGTTCAAAATTGAGTTCAATGAAGAACAAGAAGAAAGCAACTTTGCTTTGATTTAATCTCTCAATAATTAATTAATTTACAATGAAAGAATGATGCCATATATATAGGCAACTCATAAAACCCTAATTAAAACGGAAAGCATCAAGAAAACATCAAACAAATAGAGTTCTAAATGAAAAAGGAAAATTAAACCGATTTCAGATATTTTATTATTATTTTTTTTTTACTGCGAGCGCGCACTGTGTATTGTCTCGCGCGTACGCCATTCAATTGACTTGGCTATGGGTTGAAAATTTACCTCAATGCGAGCACGCCCTATTTTGCTTGCGTGTGCGTTACTTTTTGACTCCTTTGTCCCATGGTCCTTATCAGCCATAGTGAAATTTCTGATTCGGTATTCTGAAAAAAGGGACTGACTTTGATGCTGCAAACCTTTCACTTATGGCAATTTTAGGGCATTATTGCATTCATATGCATGTTATATAAGTTTGGTATGGTTGAGGGTGCAAAAAGTGGTAAGAAAATTAAGTGGACAGTGATAGGAACTCAAAATCAGATTCTTTCCATTTTCAAATTTCATGTAGTTTCACATTTACATGATCCCTGATCACCTCTAAAGCTTGGAAAATTGATTTTGAATGAGTGTTAGGTCGTTAATGATCGAATTAGATAGTTTTTACATTCATTGAACTTGAAAATAGCGAGAGTTATACTGGTTGCTTGAAATGCTAATGCTATCTACTTATGTTGGCATTTGCGGTTGTAGTACGGGATTTTGTGTGAGTTAAGATTAACAAATTGAGAATCTTGTTTGATATTAGATGATAATAAGGGTTTTTTTTTTTTTCCAACTTTAAGTGGAAAAAAGACTTGACTTACACCTCATATAGAGCACACACATGAAGGCAAAAGGTAAGTAAATACTCATTTGCAATTACGATGCAAGAACATAGTATCCATTGAAATATTTTCTATTTACCATTGTCATGACTTTTATGTAATTTTGATAATGAACTTATTGTATATCCTATGTTGGTCATGATGATTGATTAGGTGTTTCAAGAGCATGTTGGCATCCATTTTGATTGAGTATGCTATTCATAAGCATTTATATGTGCATGCATGACATGTCCATACTAAAAAAATCTAGCATGCACGACATGATTTGAAAAATGAATTTACATTATAAAATATTTTATTGACCACTATTTGGGCACCAAGGCATGGGAGCTTGTTTATGTGATATTTGTTGGCATCATAAGTGAGGCTTTCATGTGATTCATGTAGGAATATAGGGAATGTACCTTTGACGATCACAAGATGATGGGCCACTTGATTATGCTTTGGTGATATTATGATTATTGGCATCAGGATGGGATAATTCTTGGGTGATCGATCATAGGGGCAGTAAGGGATGTACCTCTAGTGGTCATAGGAGGATTGTCCACTTGATTGTATCGATATTATATTGGACATTTGATTATTGAGATTGATATTGCGTAAAACTCTATTGGGTGCATAGTAGGTGCGTGAAGGACCCAATGAAAAGAGACATTTTCAAATGAAATTATTTTGAGCTTATTTTAATATGATGTATCCTTTGCATAATGTTTTCAAAAGAAATGGCATGGACACATATCATATTCATGGCATGCATAATTTTTACATATTGAGCATTAGCTTATGTAGTTTTTGAATTGTAGGTGAGTTTGATGAGCTTGGAGCTCCATACATAGCATGGCTGGGATGTGAAGCTCTTGCAGGATTTCGAAAGTCGATATACATTGATGACGACTTGTAGGGGTATTTTAGGGAATGTCCATTTTGTCTTACAGTCTTTTTACTATATTTTGAAAACTTATGTATATATGACTTGTGAAATAGAATAGTAATACTTTTATATATATATATATATATATACG